ACCTTCAATGGGTTGTCCACTGTTTTCAGGGTGGCCCCGTGGGCTAGATCTAAGCACCCCACAGGCCAGATTCACGGGCCAGATCTAAGCATCCCACAGGCAGGAACTGGCCCGCGGGCCTTAAGTTTGACACCCCTGCCATGTTTGCTTCATTCCATGTCCTCATTTACTCTCATGATATCTCTGTGGTCACCCATTGAAGGTCACCTATGAAAGGTTGGTCTATTAGTAGGGCTGATCCCAAGACTGTTTCCTATCTGTAACTGAATTAGAAAATGAAGGGACTACAGCAGTTGTAAACTTACTTTGTTGTCCACAGATCTGATAATATTTGTCTCTGTTTGTTTGGATGTATATTTTTCCATTCCATCTTTGTTCTGAGATTCAATATTCACATCATTATTGATTTGCTGATTAGGTGGCTTATTGCGGTCTGGAAATTTTCCATTTCTCTGTCTTATATTACACAGAGGTGAAGTTTGGAACATGGACTGTGCCTCAGGCTTCACAATCTCCTTTGCTTTCCTGTGGGTGGGAAGTATTCAATATATATTTTGGCACTGAGATGTAACTACTTTATCTTTTCTCCATTTACATCCAAAAATTTTCTTTTATGAAACATTTCTTTATTAGACAAAAATGAAATAGTGTAATCAATGGATGTACCCCCCAAAGGCAAACTAATTATATCTATATCTGTTGCTGAATCACTAAGAGACACGTGGTGTCATCACTAGGAAGCATATGACTAGATTTTGAGCTCATGGTGGTAAGAGCAGCCTTGTTTTATGTCTTCCAATAAGCAGAGAAAATATAGGCTTGACAAATGAATAAATGCCAGAATGAATATTTGAAATAGATGTTCTCCTCTACTTATCAATCAGCTGATGAGGAATAATAACCAGTAGTATTTAAAAATTCTAATTGTTTTGACCATTTAGTTATGTCCAATTCTTGGTGACTTTGTAGGCAAGTGCTCTCCGTGGTCAATTTAACAATAGATTATGATTAATAGTAAGTGGTGGAGAAAAAAACTTGTCCATCAATGTTCTATTTCTTCCTTTTGTATGATTTCAGATCTTACACATTACAGATGCTTCCTTCACTTGCTAACTCTAGACCACTGTACCATTATCTTACAATGGTTTTATTATATTTTGTTGAAAGACAAATGTTAAGGAAATATTATCTCTTAGAATTTCTCCCTGCTCTGAGCGATGTATGCAAAGTACAAGGAAAATACTGTTGTGTAGGAATGGGCAAGTGGTTGGTCCATCACAGTTTCTCATTATGACATCCATAAGAAGGATTTGCCCTGAAGTAGAAAACTGCAGTTGAAGTTAAGCCATCTAACAAGATACCAAAGAAATGAAGTTTTGGCTCATTCAATCAGTCTGAATAGAAGCAAAATGGCATGGTGAAAAAGGAAAATAAACCTCTCCTTTACACCACAAAGTCTTTCATGAAAATTACAAAAAGTTATATAATTTGCAGAGCTACACCAGGCACACTTCCTTTAAACTTGGAAGTATTTGGTGAAAATTACAGAGAAATTATTCTATATAATTTATAGAATTGTGTACATAAGTGGCTTCAAGGCTGAAACAGTAGAAGGGGAGATGAAATAATTTGAACTAAAAGAATTCAGAGATTGTCCTGTTTAACGATCCCTGGTTAATATGAATCCAACATGATTTTAGTTCCTACATGTCTGAATACCTAGAGAATATTTATCTTGGACCAGCAATATAGAATAGAATAGAATAGAATAGAATAGAATAGAATAGAANGCGTGGCACAGCGGATTCCTCCCCTCGCTGTTCTACTTACCTTCGCAGACTCGAAAAGCTTCAAAATGTTCCTTTTTTAGTGCTGTGCAGGCGTGTCTCAGGCGCGCATGCGCGCAAAGTAACCAGCAGCAGATTTCACTGCTGACCACACCATACTTTTTTTCTGCTGGACATGATGGGATAGACAGAGAAGGTTAGGAAGAGGTTGTCCCTCAAATGGTCCCTTACCTCAGGAAATGAAAGAAGGCCTGAGCAAATCTGGTCTTCTTGAAGAAAACTCTGGGTTAATTTTTCAAAACCCAACTCTCCATTGTATTCTTTTAGTATCTGCTTCAGTGCCAGAAATGTATTTTCTGATGTCCAAGAGCTAAAGAGTGATAGTATGAGGAGACAACTTATCTTGCATTCTTGAAAAAGAAGCTACATATTAAAAAATTTAACATTTACATATTAAAACTGTTGTCTTAGGCTATTGCTAATCAAACTGAAGCTGAAAACAGAATATTCCTCTCTCATGCTTTTTAATTGATATTTATAATATAATATGCAAAATTAAAATAGAACCTTGGATTCTTTTTATTTTCATTCTTCTCAGGAAGGGTATGTTGCATTTTGCTTGATGCCTGGAGTGTTAATAACTGGATCAATTTTTCATAATCTATCTAAAAGAAACATAAAGAAATGTAATTTCAAAGGCTAATTTTAAAACAGGCATTCAAAATTCCAGAAGGGGAAAAAAACATGGTGTAGAAAATATAACTACTATTGGTTGAACTGTGTATAATATCTGTTAATAAACTAAATCTAATTTTAGTATAGCTGAAGAGGCTGGATCTGCTGAAATCCATGGGATCAGAACAGAAGAAAAGCCTCTTAGTTTCAGACCAAAGGTCAATACTGGAAGGAGTCTATTATTAACTGACTTTCTATAATTATCAGCCAGATCGCTATGGTTAAGCCAAAGGCAAGAGAGGAACACTTTAACAGTTTATGCTCTTGTCTCTTTGCAATTGGTATTTGAGGACACATGCTGCCTCTAATCCTCAATATCCATCCATCCATCCATCCATCCATCCATCCATCCATCCATCATCTATTCATCATCTATTTATCAATTCTTTTTGTCTGTTTGTCTATCTATCTATCTATCTATCTATCTATCTATCTATCTATCTATCTATCTATCTATCTATCTATCTATCTA